TGTGTATGTATATATACTTATTTTTTCAGTTTTGGGGACGAAATAAAGATGAAGGGAATGCTGGTTCAAGGAATGGGTGGCAGAATGTTCAACATGAAAACTTCACGCCGGTTTTAGGATTTCGACTTTAATACTTTGCACACACTTTCATTGAGGTAGTACGAAACGCTGTTGGAGGGGTCGTTTATTGTCCCCCTGTCGCCGGATATCCGGGGTCCTAGAGGTTTCGGGGTCATGTGCGTCTCCTGGGACCCAGAATAACCGGCGACCATGGAGTGGGCTTGCCGAAACATCCTAGATGCATGAAGAAAAGCTGCATGAAGAACCATCGCAGAGAGGTTGCCATCAGACAACACCGCGCTGGGCTGATCTTCTCACCCGGAAACCGTCGCGAACAACGCGTTACCCCTAGTGGGCAACATATTGTCCGGGAAATACAGTGGCTGGAGGTGCCCTCCGACACCAGGAAGTGGGTTGAGCCTCAGTTCTCGGAGAGACAGGTTTGATAGGACCCCGCGCATGAGCTGGGTGGTGAATCTCGTTCAAACTATCTCGTTCCCCGCCCAGCTCACGCGCGGGGTCCTACTAAACCTGCCACTCCGAAAACTGAGGCTCGCCCCACCTCCTGGTGTCAGAAGGCACCCCCAACCATTATTCTCCGGACAACATGTTGTCCACGAGGGAGCCGAGCACCGCACCTCTCGCGAGGGTTTCCTCGTGAGAAGAATAGCCCAGCCCGGTGTTGTCGGAGGGCACCCTCTTCGCGATGGTTGATGTATGTATATCGAATGTTTCGACAAGTCCACCAACCGCATTTCCGGCCTTTCAATACATAATTGAATAATACAATTGTAGTTTATGTTACATTTATATATATTCAGTTGTGGGGACGCAATAAACATGAAGGGAATGCTGATTCAAGGAAATGGATACCGGAATATCCAACGTAACAACTTCGCGCCGATTTTAGGATTTTGAATTTAAGCTGGTACGAAACGCTGTGTGGAGGGGCCATTTTTTGTCCCCCTGTCGCCGGATATCCGGGGTCCTAGAGGTCTCGGGGTCATGCGCGCCTCCTGGGACCCCGAATAACCGGCGACCATGGAACGGGCCTGCCGAAACATCCTAGATGCATCAAGAAACTGCATGAAAGGACCATCGCAGAGAGGCTGCCATCAGACAACACCGCCCTGGGCTGATCTTCTTACCCGAAAACCGTCGCAAGCTGTGCGTCACTCGGTTCCCTCGTTCACAACATTGTTGTCCACGAGGGGACCCAGTGACGCACTGTTCGCGACGGTTTCAGGGTGAGAAGAATGTCCGTACTGTCTCGTTGTCCACGGTGGAACCAAGAAACGCACTGGTTGCGACGGCTTTCGGGTGAGAAGAATAGCCCAGCGGGGCGTTGTCTGATGGCAGCCTCTCTGCGATGGTTCTTTCATGCGGTATTTCTTGAGGTATGTCGGATATTTCGGCAAGCCCACCAATGCCGCGTGCGGCCTTACAGTAAGTGTTTGGATCTTGAGTGTGTTTCGTCTTGGCTGTTCGTTAATTTTCAGGTTCGGGGACGCCATCCCTTGTAGCCTGCTCGAAAATAAAGAGCGGTGCGAACACGAAAGCCGCTGTGCAGTTTTCTCCGTCGGGGTTGGTTCGAAGCCACACGACTACGCACGACTTTCTATAGTGCCCCACGTCAGGATGTCCCCGGCGTTGTAGTAGCCTAACCACCCCGTTTTCGAGTTGGTCACAATCTGGGTCAAGGCCTCAGGGATCCGAGAGCGCACACTTTTTCAGCAGTGTGTCCCCTCCGGAGGGAGATCGATTCGCCCGGTGCAAATGTTGCAACCTTTTGTGTTGGCGCAGCCAAAAGGGTGCAACCGTTGTGATGGCTTCAGCGGTGTGTCTGTACGCCATTCCCTCGCCTGGGTTACCAACCATCCCCCCCCCCGCCGTTCTCGTCCATCCATCGGACCATGCGCAGGAGCCAGGCGTCTATCGCGTGCCCTGCGACGGCAGTCGCGACCGCAGGCGAATCCCGTACCCGATGGCGACGAAGAGAAGGGCGGGAATGCTCTTCAAGGTTCTTCTTCTGGCCCCGCTCGGCCCTCCGTTGAGGCTCTCCCGGGTGTAGTCAATCAACCGTGAGTGTTTCTCCGTTTCTCCTTACAGACGAGTGCGGAAACCACTAACGCCATCCGGCGCCGGTGGCCCGACTTGTTACGCCATGTGCTAGTTTCTCTCTGTCGGGTTTTAGCGAACGAATGTGTATCGCAAGTAGCTCTCGGCGAGAAACTTCCTAATTCGCCCTTTTCGGTAAGGGTGACATATCCAGAAAAGCAAGCCTGTCTATGGGGGGGGGGGGGTACTCATAGTCGTGCATGCTGTAGTCGTTAGACGATTGACCTCGCATCCCTACAAAGCCGGGACGGAGCACGCCGGGCTCTCACCGGACCAGGCTCTCACATCACCAAGCGCAAAGCGCCGTGAGGTATTCGGCGAGTCGCATGAAGGGTGCTCTGCATCCTGCAAAGGGTGTTCGGCATCTTGTGCTTACTTCCTTGCGTACGGATGACAGCTGCGTATGACTTAATTTATATTCTGGTGCTTTCACTTTCAGAGACAGTTATAGGCACTGTGTAACTGCCTCGAGGATGCTTGACCAATTTAACACAACGTGGTGCAATTATCCCGTTTGCGCGGAGAGAGGGTTATCCACCCCGCACAACATGATCTACTCGACCATCATTCCTGGTTACCGCAAAAATAAATCCTAAGGCAAAAAACAAGCGGGAACCTGGTTGCCGAGCTCACGAAGTGATCGACTTGTTTTACAACACCGCTGCCAAGCGACGAAGACCCAACCCCGATGGCAAACACCCGGGGGGGGAGCCTGTCTATGGGGGGGAGGCGTACTCTTATGTTTTGCATGCCTTAGCGGTTAGACCATTGACCACGCGTCCTCGAGAGGACGGAGCATTGTTCCCACAGGATCGATCACCGATGGCCAATCGTTCCTTCCTACTTTGCCAAAGGTGACTCAAAAACGTCTTCCCTAGTCTGTCTTTCCTAACGATATCCCCTCCCGCCTTTTCAAACCACTTCCTACTCCCCAGTACAGCTACCGTCCTCTCCTCTCTATCCCATGCCTCAAACATCTCCCTGTACGCCCCTTGTATTTTTCCCAGCTCAGTCATGCACAATTCCCTCTCCTCTTCGTACCACATCGGGGGGGGGGGGGGGGGG